AGACGATAGACATGTATGAGGAGATGGTGAGAGACTACAGAAAAGCTAGACACAATAGTCAGTGACTACTGACGATACTTAAAGAGGTGGTAAGTGGCTGTGACCGGGCTGTAGGAGTTGTTGGAGAATGGGGACATGCTTCAGAAGACAGTCATAGACTAGTGATATGTTTTGGAAAACAGTCATAAGCTGGAGACTAGAGATGAGCTCCAAGTTGGTTCCAAACACACGATCACACTGAACTTTGACTGTCAAGTGTTCAGACAAACACCTGAATATTTACCTGTTCTGCAGGAGCCAAATGTCATGTATAATAGTGGTATTACTACCACTACTATACATGATAGCTTCCCACTGACAATAGTTGGTAAGGACACCGGAGGTGCAGGCACCGCCGAGTCTTTAGCAACCACTGCCTTCACCAGTCCCATGCATGTACATGGCGAAAATCTCCAGGAGACCAATAGACCCTGCCCCCTTGAATTTAATGACTCCGCCCGTTGAAGACGTCAAGTGACGAAACGCGTTGGGCCTGGCCTAGTGGATGTGACGTTGGAACGTTCCTCCCAGCTGTCGGCTGTTTGATCGCAGTGCAGGAGGTTCGTCCCTTGGTTTTTCCCTTGTGGATGTGGCATTTTAGAGGCTGTCATTGCTGGTGTCGGCTAGACACCTTCTTTGTGAGTGTTATACTTTATTAATAAAATTTTACTGGTTTTAAACGTACAGCACCATCATATGTCTTCTTATTCCTCGAGCTTTGCCCATGTTATTGGAAGATCTTTTGCTGCTTAGCTGTTCCATATGTGCTGCCTAGCTGTTCCATATGTGCTGATTGGATCACTATTGGTTGCTGTTCCTCTACTGGGATATCCTGCAGATCATCGCTCCCAGAGCAAAATGCTATCATGCTGGTTTATAATATAATCAGCATATAGCTCTGGTGAGTGTATTCATTTCATCTGGTGTCGGATTTGCACATGGGTGTTTTGTTTTCAAGATTGACATTAAGTTGATATTGGACTATCACTGTTATGGTGGCTGGACTTATGTTTATATTTATGAATTCATTTATTTTTATTATTTATCCTTGCATGTTTTGTGAATAATTAGCGCACTTTTTATTTGTACACTATTTTACCTTTTTTGGTTAGAGGTGCTGCTTATTTGATTTATTTTGCATTTTCTGTGGCGCTTCTTATATCTACTACATAATTTAATGACTGTCATCTATCAGACTTTCGGTGATTGACAAGCCAACTAGTGGGACATTGGCAGAGGATTTTTTTTTCTTTCTTCAGGACATCAGCTGTTGGACATCAAGATTGACGTGGACAGCAGCACTGGAAGACTTGATTGACAATGGGTCTACAATGAAGGGACTTTTTTTTATTTTTATTTTTTCAATAAAGTATGTGTCAAATGTTTAGGTGTCTACCTATTTCTAGTTTACAATTTTTTTGTGAATGATAGTGGTAATATGTACCCCATATTTGTTCACATGAGGGGGAGAGGCAGCAACTCTGTGCCCCCCTATTGTTAAAGGGGGCTTCCAAATTCAGATAAGCCTTCTACCGACAAAACCACAAAAACTGCCAGGCAAGGGTTGTGGAGAAGAAGCCCTTGTCTTCATCAACATGGGGACAAGGTGCTTGCCAAAGGAAGCCCCTCCCCCCCGGCAGGGCACTCCCCCCCTTCATATTGAGGCCATGTGGCTATGCATGTTTCAGGAAAGGGGGGAAATCACATGCTTGCATGTTCCAATTAAGGGTCTGATGTGGATTTCCTGGAAAACCTCATTCTATGAAGCCCATACCAGACTTAAAGGGGTTTATTTACTAAAGCTGGAGAGTCCAAAATCAGACTCACTTCTGCATAGAAACCAATCAGCTTCCAGGTTTCATTGCCAAAGCTTCATTGAACAAGCTGAGGTTAGAAGCTGATTGGTTTCTATGCACAAGGGAGTCTGATTTTGGACTCTCCAGCTTTAGTAAATAAACCCCAAAGGGTCTAGTATGCATTTTGGGGTTTTCTGCCCAATTTTTTCATTCTTGCTGCAGGATGTGCTACAGCAAATTGACATTTACAAAGATAAAAAAATTAAATCGGTGTAATTGCTGGCAAATTACATTCTCAGACCCCTCCAAGTGTCCCCCAAAATACAAAGCAAACCATGCTATGCTATTTTTTGACACCCCCTTCCCTCTTAGCCTTAGCATTTTTAATCCGATAGATTTGACTTGCATTGATTTAAATGGGGTTTGGGTTTGCCATCCAAACTTCTATGAGGTTCGCCGAACCCAGGGCAGTGGGTGAGTTTACTGCATCTTAACATATCAATGTTTCCACATTTGTGCTTTCTTTAGCCCTTTTAAAAATTGCTTGTGCCCCAATTAATATTTCTCTGAGTTAAATAAAATAAGAAAAAGGGATGGATGACACAGAAAAGGTGATAGTGTGAAATAAATAAACAAACCAAATGATTTAACTCCTAGAAACCTATCTAAAGTATATTTTCTTTTCTGAGTAAGCACCTAGGTAGGGACAACACAAATGACAATAAGTGTCAAAGGTCTGCTTGTAGCCCCAGGGCAGCAGGCTGGGTAGTATGAGGTTAGAAACTCTATTATATTCGTATATTGCTGTTGCTTCGCTTACTTGGAGAAGATTTCCTTTACTACATTTCTCAGTGATTAATGTCACCAAGACTTGTGAGGGTGAATTTCCCCAACAGGAAAGTAAAAACCCTACAAAGGTCCTAACCTTCCCATACTCAATCAAAAACATAAAAATCTGTACTGCCCAGGGTGGAAAAAAATCAATGATTTTTTAAAAAAAAAAAAATTAAAAAAAAATTTTTTTTATTTAAATCGGATTTTTTTTATTTAAATCGGATTTTTTTTAATAAAATGCTTTTTGAGGAAATCATATTACCATCCAAAGGTTATTCCATCATGAAATAAAGATTCGTTTTTTAATTATGTAGAATAAGGCTGTATATGTTTAATTTTTTTGGTAAATAAATTCCATTAATCCATTCACAATGTCATGCTCTTCCAGAGGTTTTTGTAAGATTATTGGGCAGTTTCTCTGCCTACAAGATATTATCACAGATGCTTGGTTTACTTTTGCAGTTCTCAAAACTGAATTGGACTCAGCGGAGATCACATGCCTCTTCACAGCAAAAATGTTATAACATGAACAGAGTTAAGAAAAAGACCTTAATCCTAACTTCTACAAACCTATGAATACAGAATCAACCCCTTCAGTGCTAAGTTTCAAGAAGTTCAGTGAATAGAAACAATATTTTTCTGATTGTTTGGAGTGGAATAGATCTGCACAAGAAAAAAAGTGAAACTAAGTGTGAGGAGGAAGGAGCTGACAGTCTAAGTTTCTTAAAATATATATATTTTGTTTAGCCAAATTAATTACCAAACATGGATGTTTGTTTAAGCAAATCACATATGCTGGAATGTTATTGTTTCAGTTGAATAAATCTATTTAAATTGTTATTATTAAGGTAATGATTATTTTTCTCCTTCCTAAGTATAAAAGAAAAGTTGTCCAAATATGAATGATTAACCTATTAAACTGGGGATAAAAAAACTAATATGAAAAGTTGTTATTCTAAAAATCTTCATCTACTTGCATATTAAAGTTATACCAGCAAGAATTAGTCTATGTAGAAAACTATGATTTAAATCAAGCCTTACTGACTAGTGATTTAAATTGTGATTTAAATTGTGATTTAAATCAGTTTGATTTAAATCAAATCCACCCTTGTACTGCCCATATGACATCATCTTTCTTTGTTATGAACATCGGAAATCTCTGTGATCAGAGCGTGACGAGACTCCGGTAACTACATCTCATGGAAAGCAAGGCTGTATTTATCATTAGACACGGGGAGATCCTAGGACAGCACAGTAAGGCTCTCTAGCTCAGGTATCATGCAGTTATGTTCTTTTGTCTTGTTCTTTTCAGACTCTGGATTGCTTGATTGCACTGTTCAGTGTTAGTGTTGTATATTAGCCTGACAGCGTGTTACTTTTTTGTAGTATTTAACTGAGATAACAATCATATACCGTGGAGGACAATAGACTTGCAGCCTGGACAAAGAAGTTTTATTATTCACACGTCTCACATTTATAGAGTTTTAAAGCTGTATTAAACCCAAAAGCAAACATTTATTATATTGCAGCTTACCAATTCTAAGATGGGATGGCTGCATTGCTTTCTTTTTTAGGCTTTTTTTCCCTTTATTTTCTCTTAGTGATCCAGCCAGTAAGTCTGTTGTTTTTCAACAGAACGAGCTGCCCTGCAGATGTAGCATTTCATTTTGGCAAACCATTTAACACTGACTTACAATGATCAGCTTTTATTTATTTATGTAAAACGTTTTTCCCAAAATGAAAAAAAAGCTGTTGATAAATTGCGAGCTGGAATTTGCTTTCAGTTTGTTAGTGTAATAAAATTTGCTAGTACATTTAACACTCCCCTTCCCCCAGAGTAACAACACTTGCTGTCAAAAGGTGTCCCCTGTACTCCTTCATTCAGATTGGCATCCTAGTACAGGAGGTGTGTTACTGACAAGGTCACCAGGTATAGAAAAGAGGGAAAAAAGTAAAAAAAAAGAAAACTAATGCAGACACCACATCTAGTGGCTGGTAAACAGCAATATATTACAGTTTTGGTTTTGGGTTTAGTACCGCTTTAATGATGTCACCATTAGTTTTGCAAGATATCTGGGTTTGCATATGCATTTGGTGCACACAAAGTGAATATACAGTATATCCTTTTTATCTATCAAGGACTATATATACATCAAAGTTTTTTTAGCTTTAAAAAGAGCCCTCCCTGATTATTTCATTTTCTTTATTACAGGTACTGATATAGCGCTGTCAATTTGCTCAGCACTTTATATCAATATATTGCACATTCACATCGGTCCCAGCATACAATCTAAGGTCCCTAACCAGGGGCGGACTGACAACTCATGGGGCCCCCGGGCAATAGGGGATCATGGGGCCCCTGTGTCCTTGCCGAAACTCAAAAAAGCCTATGAAAAAGGTACCAGGGGCATCTCATGGGGCCCCCTACTGACCCTGGGCCCTCGGGCAATGCCCGAGTTTCCAAATGGTCAGTCCACCCCTGTCCCTAACTCACATTCATACATACACATATTAGGGCCAATTTAGACAGGAGACAATTAACCTACCAGCATGTCTGACTAATTCATCCTTAAAGCAGAACTCCAGGCAAAAACCTCTTTACATATCCTTGTTGCTGATTTCCTACCTCCACTGAATATATCATCCACCTTCTGGTTCACTCAGTAGTTGCTCTGAAATATCCTATTCATAATCAAATCAACTCATTAATTCTCTTTGGTTTCCTGTGTGTAAGACTGGTGTCTGCTAGGCCTCCTATTCCCCCAGTCACTGGTCTTGGGACATCCCTTCTGTGGTTCTTTCTCCAGGAAGCAGTGATGTCATTCAGTCCCACGTACTGTGGTGGGCAGACTGAGACTCTCAGATACATTCAACATGCACAGGACTAGTTTACCCGCCCACATTCACTACAATTCCCTATGATTGATGGGAACTGCAGTTTCCTTTTCTCTAACTCTTCAAAAACACCCCTATAGTGTCAGTATGGGTGTCAGAAGGGTGTTGATGAGCTTTAGTATGGGCGTTAGAAGGGCGTTAATGAGCTTTAGTATGGGCGATTTACAAGCGTTAAAAATGCTCTCCAAATGCCCTATGTGCAGTTTGGAGGCATTTTATAAGCATTTTACAAGCATTAAAACTGCACAAGAAATGCCTATAATAAACTCTAATGGTATTAACGCGCCGCAACCGCACTGCAAATGCCCCACAAACACCTGCTAAAGTATTTGAGGAGCATCACCATAGACTTGAATGGGAGGTGTTGAAAGGCTTCAACTCCTCCTAACTCGACATGAGGCTTCAATTTTGAAGCGATACGACACTAATGCTTCATGTTTTGATAATGTGAACAGCACTGTGTGGTGCCCATAGTATCAGTTCCTTAGGTGTTTGAGGAGCATTAACCACTTCCCGTCCAGCCCATGTATATAAACAGCCAGATGGGAGCAGTGCAGGGGCGGGTAACTGTTTATAAATGTCCTCCCCACTTCCCTGCTTGTGCACGCTCCCAGTGAACACCGATCGTTGTACGGGACCTCTGTGTGAGGTCCCGATCATGTGATCACTGATTGACCAATCAGTGATCACATGAATAGTAGTAAGCAAGATGTCACTTCTGACATCATTGCTTACTATGTGTGAAATCTGTGAATGATCACAGAGGTCACATGGTACAAGACTATTCACAACAGCTTTGTACCGTGTGACAAGCTGTGACCAATCACAGCTCACACAGTATTTCTCAATGGCTGCAAGAATGCAGTCAGAGAGAAGGAGAAATTATTGCTTTTACAGCCTTTATGGGTGTAAAAGCAATCAGTGTAAAAAAAAATCTTCATCACACCCCCACACAAGTAGTACAGTGTCACTATGGTGACACTGTACTGTTAGGGTGACAGTATGTAAAAAAAAAAACATAATTAATAATGTAAAAAAATAAAATACAAATGTAAAAATAAAATTTTGAAAAATTATAATTTTTGGTTATAAACTAATTTGGGTTATTTATTTTTTTTACTAAAAATATAACTGAATAAATTTTGGCCAAGATTTATAAAGAAAGATTATTTATTTGCAAAATTTTATAACAAAAAAACTTTTTTTTCAAAATTTTTTTGGACTTTTTCATTTATATAAATAAAATAAAGATCCCAGTGGTGAATAAATACCACCAAAATAAAGTTTTATCTGTCTCAAAAACATGCTAAAAAATTCATATGGGTTCAGTGTTGCATGACCGCGCAATTGTCATTCAAAGTGTGATAGCACTGAAAGCTGAAAATTGGCCTGGAGGGAAGGGGGTAAAAGTGTCCAGATTTGAAGTGGTTAAAAACGCCCCTCAAACGCCTGCCTTCAAAGCCAGGGTGAACTAGGCCTTACGATGCTGGCTACTGGGAGGTCTGTTGTTGCTGCAGGGGGTCTATTGTTGTTGGAGTGGTCGTTAGTTGGGGGGGTCCATTGTTGCTGGGAGAATCTATTCTTGCTGGGGGTGGGGGGTGGGAAGTTTATTGCTGCTGGCTGTGAGAAACAGGGGCAGACTGACCATTTGGAAACTCGGGCACTGCCCGAGGGCCCGGGGTCAGTAGGGGGCCCCGTGAGATGCCCTTGGTACTTTTTTCATAGGCTTTTTTGAGTTTGGGCAAGGACACAGGGGCCCCATGATCCACTATTGCCCGGGGGCCCCATGAGTTGTCAGTCTGCCCCTGGTGAAGAATCTATTTTCTTTTCATGGTATCATGAACAAATTCCATACAAAGTACAACAGAATGATAGGTGGCTCTGTATTCTCAGTGTATGGGTTTATGTACAAGGTGTGAGATTAGTATGAGGGAGCACTGCAGTACCAAGCATAGATTGTATAAACCCATATCAATATAATGTTTTGTTTAACGAACTGCATTGCCACCTGCATTGAAATGTAACACGATACTTAAATATATTGATATTTGTCATCCTCTGAAAGCTCGGTTATAACTAGTGTTTATTTTGTCAGGAATGACTCTGCGGTTCATTGTATTGTTATGACTCATTCATCTACTTTATTAAAGACAAACTCCAGGAAACAAGTCAAATCATTCAATGCATTCTATTCCACAAAACACAGCAATTAGGGACGAGCTGAACGGTTGGTCTGAACGAGACTTTTCTCTCTGTCAGAAGAATTCTTCTCGAAGGTATCTGATTTACCGACTGGTGAACTGTTTAGTTCGATTAAAGCAGAACTCTAGGCAAGGAAAAATAAATAAAAAAAGATAAAATGAAAATAAAAACAGCTTTTGCTGCAATTTTTACCTTCAATCCAGCAGTATTTCTTTTTAGCCACTAGATGTCTTCACTCTTCCAGGTTGATTGATGGATACCAGTAATCAATCCACTTTCTCTGAGCCCAGGCTGTCATGGACCCTCCCCAGCCGGTGCCTGGACAGTAAACCTAGGTTCACACTTATTCGGATTTCAGCACATTTTACAGTTTCCAGAAATGCACTACAATTTAATATGATTTCCAATTAACCCCTTCCCGCCGGCGCCTCCCGGCCCTTTAAGAGTTTCAGACGCCGGGAGGCGGGGCGGGTGGGGCGTGGTTTAGGGATCATGTAACTGCCGTGACGCTGTCAGGACAGGGTCACGCACTGACTGACGACAACCACCACCCACAGACCGGAGACCCTCAGGGCGCGGAGTCTAAGTCCCAGGCTGCCCTTCACCAGGGCCCCTGATGGTGGGGACAGACTTGACGCAGCCAGGAACCAGGTCGCGGCCCCCGAGACACCCCAGCTGCGGTAATGGCCGCCGCCAATGGCATGTAGCTGGTAGGGACCAGATAAACAAAGAGTAGTCGGGCAGGCCGGGTCAATAACAACGGGACAAACGGTACAGAATGGTAGACAAGAATAACAGGTCACAGGCCGGGTTCAGCAACGGAAGGTCAGATCAATGGAAACCGCAGAGAATGGTCAGTCAAAAGCCGAGTCAGCTTCCAGGAGAGCCACAAGAGTATAAACAGAGCTATAGTCACACTAAACACACAAGACACGAATGCAAAGGGCACGTGTGGACAACAGGCTTATATGTGATCAACCACACCCCTCTGGGGGATGGACCGCAGAGGCCTGAAGGCATAAAAGACTCCCACCATGCTCTGCAGAAATCCAAGATGGATACCAGCACATGGAGCAGCATAACCTCTCGGAAAAGGTAGGACCTTGACAGACGCGTTGTCACAGCAGTCACATGATCAGGAAAGGTCCGATAGAAAGAGCAGACTTGGACTTTTCCGTGAGTACCAGACACGTGTGCTGGGAGCGCGCAGGGAGGCGCTCTCAGCACATATGGTTTTCTTACATGAACGCAAATGTGTGGCCGCTCGGCGTCTAGGCCCAGACGCCGAGACGCCGCACATTTGTGTGCGGCCAACGTAAAGGGGTTAATCTAATTCACGTCTATGCATTTTGAGCTGGTACATTTTTTTGGAAAGGGTTAGGGACTTTTTTTTTTCCACAGCAGACTGAATTTTGTGTGTATAAGACTTCAATGGACCTGCACCAAAAATGCAAGTGTTGCATTTTTATGCGTTTTTTTCTTTTGTTAATAGACAAGTGTGACAGTTCTGATCATGTAGTCCGACTCTGATGCTACCTGAATGCCAGAGAGTGTAAAGATGCATCAAAGTTGCACTACATGAATAGAACTGTCATACTTTTCTATTAGCAAAAAAAACATGTCTAAGCAATGCTCCTTGCTAGCACATGACCTGATTGGCTGATCGTGCTGCTTCTTCCTCTCACACTCCAGCTCTGTTGTACATACACTGCAATAGGCTGATATCAGGTCAAATTCGGAAACTTAGACTGCTTGCATTTAGAATGTAAAAAAATAAATACATTTAATGGTGTATGAATAATTACAGAGCTACATTAATTTGTGTTTTTTAAATGTATATCTGAGTTCAGCTACTTCATCTGGTAAATGGTGCTTAGATCAGAGGTGTGAGAAGAATCTAATAAGGATCCCCAGCCTTAGAAAGTAATGGAAGGCCCATGGACCAAAACCTCAAGTATTTTTCTGCGTTACTAAACCCACAACAATAAAATCAGTCTGTAAATGCAGTAAAGCATGCTTGTTATACTCACTGTGGAACCTAAGGGGTTAATCCTCTGCATTGTGTAAAAAGGATGTTTGATTCTGTTTTCTTTGATCCTCCTCTTCTTCTACTGTCCCCAATCCATCTGTTGATAGAACAGAGCCTTGGGGAAAAGCTGCACATGCTTAGTTTGGTGTGTATTGCTAGAGTTTTTTTTTCTTGGGAGAGTGCATGTGATCAGTACAGGGCCAATCAGTGCTGTCCAGACAGAGGGTCAAGAGTTCTTCAGCCTTACAGGGGAGAATGAAAAATCATCCTCT